TTAGCAAACAACCCAAAAGAAAGAGGAAATAAAAATGCTGAAATTCACCATTTAACAGGAAACATAAATGATAAAACAATTTATAAGATTCATTTCAATTTAACACACTATATAATGTATTTATTAAAAAATTATTTTTTTAATTCAAAATTAAAAATAAATCTAAAGAATAAAAAAATTGAGTCCTACAATGTTCCTATCTGGCTCAATATTCCCTTACTGTTCCTTTCTCTCACTTCTCCAAGATACTCTACCCTCTCACAATATTTTTTTTCCAATTTTACCCTCCAATGTTGCGACCTCCATTACATATATTAGGAATGGCTTTTTGGTCATTTTACTACCCAAATATCTACCATTCACAGAGATTGTTTTCTCTGTCCTACCCTCGATGCTTCATTTGTCCCTTTTTCTCTTGGAGCATGGCTTTTGAGTCTTTTTGCTCTTCTGTGTTTCTGATGATCACTTGATTCAATCTTCGAGAATCTGGTCTTTGGTCGTCAATCATGTAAGAGGAAATTTTGAGCTGGATTTTGATATTTAAGCACCTGAATGGCAATCCTTCTTGTGGTTACACAATTAGCGTTCATTGTCAACCTCAAGGAGTATTGTTGTTCCTTTGGTGCTTGTGGTTCGGCTTTACATGGCAAACACTACTAGAAAACTCAAAATCACCAACCCATAATCATCGACATGAGAAGTCTTCTCGGTAAACTATCCCCTAACCGACAAGATAAACCTCTGCAAATAAAGAAACAGTAAAAATAAGAGTAATTTATATTATTTAAGGTACAGACAAAATTTTTCTTGGTAAATTTGCATGATACACACGTGCCCTTCGTCGGTAATATGCTGCAAAGTACACTCCGGCAACAAGCAAACCAATAAACAAATCAGCGACAAAGATCACACCTGTAACTAATTCAATCTACAACAGGATTCATCTCGGTGAATTTACCGACAAAGACTTCGTTGGTAAATTCACAGTCCCCAACCCCTCCCCCGTGAATCCGGCTGCCAATGGCTGAGCTCGCAGCTTTTGGTACTCTGACCGACAAAATTCTCATTGGTAATTTCATATTGCCAGCCATCACTTCTCGGTGATCACGTTGGTCAACCTGCATTCTGTAGCTCCGCAGAGAAGATCAGCTTTTAATGGTTGCAATGTGGTTTTCGTCGATAGGGGTTACCTGTTACCACCCCAGACCCCCTTACCCTTTCATTTTGGTCTTCTTCTTCGGGCATCTTGCTTTCCTTTCCTCTGTTCTTCCCTTTGACTAGTTAGTTACAATGTGTTTGATCTTTGCTTTTCTTTAGTATTTTCTCCAACAAATTCCCAAAAGCTGCACAAATAGAGAGAAAAACGGAGATCTTTGCTTTATAAACGCAGACAGGGAAATGTTGAAAGAAGACGAAGATGAGGTTAATTTGCGTCAGCGATGAGGTTTACATTACTCGAGGGTGGCTCGGGGTTGGTGAAGTGAGACGGTGCTAGTACAATTCAGGTCCATATTCTTTACCCAATCCATTTACACACTTTCTTGGGCTAAATGGCATCTACATATTGTAGTTCGAACTTCTAAGTGAAGCCCATTAAGAACCCAACGGGCTTCAAGTTGTATTTCCTTGTAACTATTTGATGAGCTTCTTTGGACTTGTGCCTTTCTAGTTCAATATAGATTTTTATTTTTTTAAATTGCGGAAAATGAAACACGTTGTAACTAATTAGTCAAAGGGATATATATTTTATTTTTTTGAAATTTAAGCTATTAAATATTGTCATTAGTTCATTGGACATTAATTTTGTTAGATTGTTGTTTTAGCTAAATTTTTTGGATAGTTATTAGTAATTTTTTATCATTCTTTTAGTGAAATTTCGATAATTAATTGTAAAATTTTAATATTAAGTGTTTGATATTAACATTATGAGATTTATTGGTTTGAGTAAATTTTAGGTTAAATATGAATTTTGATCTGTTGAATTTTTTACATAATCTTCATGCTAGTAATTTGGGTGGGATTGGAAAATTTTTGTCAGTAAAATGGGCAGAATTATTTCCAACATGAAGCTGGTTTGGGTGGGATTGGAAAATTTTTGCACATTTTGGATTCCCACGTGCAAGCAACATTGTGATGTGCATTTTGTCAGTAAAATAAACTCCAACAAGAGCCACATTCGTAAAATACTCTATATATTACCATACCACCTTAACCCGCTCAGTTCTTCTTTTTTTCTTTCTTTCCTTCTTCTTCTTTTTTCTTCTCCTCCCTTCTCTATTCCTCCTCGTTTCTTCCATTATTCAGATGCTGCTAGATTAATTGTATTAT